TGTCGCTCGGGTTGTCTGCGGTCTATCAAGTCGCACCTCAGCCGCTAGCTCGACTATGAGCCCTTCAATGAACGCGCCTACCAATGCACTCTTGGGCCAATCTCGTACCCGACTTGCAATGCGTTCAAACTCCTTCTAGTAGTCTCCGAGGCTACCATTTTGACCTATTCGGGAGAGCGGCTCATCATAGTCGTAGTAATCACTCGTCCCAAAACGTGTGACAAACTCCTTCTCAAATTTTCTCCATCAAATGTGCTCGCCTTTGCTCTTGTATACATGTGACACCCATTGCCACCATGTGTTTGCTTCACCTTCGAGATAGTAAGCGGCGATCTTGACTCTCTCGGACTTGTGCAGATTGTTGATCTCGAAAAATTGCATGACTCGACTTAACCACGCGTCCGGGTCGATCCCTGTAAATGTAGGCATAGTGAGCTTCGGTCGCGCATAGCCTCGGCCGTCATGTTGGCATGTTGCGCGCCATGCGCGTGTCCTCCGTGAGCGTTCGTCTGAGTCGTCGTGGTCGGTCTCGGGGCTGCTCGATGTCGTGGTCGATAGCGAGGTGTGGCTCCTTCGCGGTCGACGGGTGATGCGGGTGAGCTGCCCGGCGAGGTCGTGCACCATCAGCTCGATCTTGGCCAAATTTTCGTTCGTGGTATGGTGGCCATCTCCAATTGTCTTCAAACTCTCCTCCAAGGCTTCGATCCTCTCTTTGTGTGTCATCATCTCACTCTCTCATTTTTATTTTTTTTTTTATACTCACGAAAAGAAAGAGAAATTCAAAAAAGGGAAAATAGAAAGAGGAAGAAAAACGCACGACTGCACAAAGGGCCGGTGACTAAGCTAAGGGTACGCTATTATGGGCCATATCAGGTTTTGAAGCGCATAGGTCAAGTAGCATATCGCCTAGAGCTGCCGGAAAGTTCGCACATCCATCTGGTCATACATGTCGCAACTCAAGAGAAGTTTGGGTGAAGCGCACAAGTGGTGAGAGGAGTTGCCAGCGAAAGCGACCGATGGTTGGGTCATTGTGAGACTAAGTCGCGCGATCGAGTATCGCCAAGTGAAGAAAGCTGGACGCTATCGTTGGGAGGTCCTAGTCGAGTGAGAAGAGTTGCCATCGGAGGAAACCACTTGGAAGAAACTAGATGAGATGCGCGATCAATTCCCAGATTTCGTCCTTGACAATAGGAAACACTTGAAGGGGACGGGAATGATGCAGATGTGGCAAGGCAACTCAAGAATGCTTCGAGCCGCGCCTACCATGCACGCAGGAGACTAGCGCGACGCACGGGCGAGACGCAGGCCATTGATGGTGATGTGCGCGGGGCGCGCGAAACCGGCAAGCGGGTACCACTTGGTGATGGCGCGCAACTGGCGCGCGGGCAGGATGCGCAGGTGATGAGGGTTGACGCGCGCGCGACAAGCACATCGGGCAGGAGCTCGGAGGACGCGGCAAGTGCTGAAGAAGCAGCAGGTGCCATGGACGCGCGCGAAGAAGCCGCCGGGAACGCGGGCGCACGCGATGAGCGTAGCGGGCGTGCACGCGCGGGAAAGGGTGGCGCGACCTTAGTCCTCGCGAACTGAGGCAAGGCGCGCGCGGGAGGTGGGGGAGTCTGAGGCGGCGTGAAAGGCGGCTAGGGTTCCCTACTTGGAGTGCAAGCCAAGATCACCTAGGCTTCTCAAGATATTTAGTTTCCTTCCTTTCATAAGATTTCTAAATATTTTAGGGTACTTAATATTTTATTGCTTTATTAGAGTTATAGTAAGATTAGGACTAGATCAATTTGATGCCTATATAAAGGCCCTTCCTCTTGTTATTTTCAATCATTGAAAATCATAATACAAAACCCGAACTTTTGTTCAAACACTTTGCTTAGATTTTTTCTTGATTTCTTTTGCAATTTTAATCCGTTTCGAGGGGCGCGGGTGTGTGAACCTCCGAGACATCTATCATCGGTTCAAGGCACGAGTGTCTGGCTTATCGGCAATCCGGACACGCGATCTTCATCACCGGCCCCGTGCATGTCCGTGCCTTCAGAGCCCAAGCCTGGCCAGTGCCCGCGCCCGGTAGGCGCGAGGCACAGCCCGCGTGCACGCGACCGCGCCCACAGCACTCAGTCTGTGCCTGTGCGCATAGCATCGGTGCCCGTCGCACCTAGAGCAGTATGTACGGCGCCCGGCAGCACTGTGCCAATCCCAGCGCACGAGGTCTCGTGCCAGAGCCTCATATCATGGCCAGCGCCGACCCGAGTCGGGTATGTTGAGCCCAGTCGGCCTCGGGACGTGCCCAGCAGCAAGCCCGAGTGCCCAGCACCCTCAGGGACGCCCGGCAGTGCCCG